ACATGACAAGGTGGCTTCATCCACATTACATTCATAATGACTTTGGCAAATCAGAAGAACCCAAAACACTAATAGCACAGAAATAGCTCTGTGCGTCCTGCCCATAGCCTTCTTCACTAAGCTGTGTCCTTTATATCATCTGTCTCAGATAAAGCATGTCCATCAGCACTGAAATATATCCCAAGTTGTTCCACCCTTCCCTCTGCCTCTATTACACTGTACCCCAAACTCTGCAGATAAACCAGGGATACCAAGGCAGATATGGAAAGTGCGTGGGTATGCACTTACTTTCAGGTCTAAATTCATCATTTTCTTAATTTTTTGAGCAACTAATGCTTAAGACCCTTAGATAAATAGAAAACAGAAAAATATAATATTTATTAGCATGTAAACTAAGTAGACAGTGTAATAACTAGTTTAAATGTTAGGGGTAGGGAAGCAGGGGGAGAAAGTGAGAGAAAGAGAGAGAAATTTCAGATAAGAGTGTACATGTCCTCTAAATGATATGCCTTTTTTAAGGAACACACACTGGGATGACCATGTGGAAGAAGTTGCATATGATTTAGGCCTTAAAGGATGAGAACATTTAGCCACACGGTGATGGGGGAAGCAAAAAACATTTTAGATGGAAAGCCTGAGAAAAAGCAGAGGAGGAAAATGTTGGTGTGCATATGAAGAAAAGCAAGTTGCTAAATTTGATTGATATTTAGGAGTTTTAAACTAGAGTAGAAGGGATAGCAATAGAAAGGCAATTTGGTGTCAGATAGAGTTAGATTTAAGGCTGAAGAGCTTGGACTGTATTCTGTAAGCCATGTGGGGCTGTTGACAGCATCAAATTTGTTTTAAGCGAGGAAATGATACCATCAGATTTGTTTTTTAAAACATCACTGTAGTCATTGTCCAGGTAAAACATAATGAGAGCCTGAAGTAGGAAATGGTGAGGAGGGTTGAAAGGGAACAGTCTTCAATCAGTAATAATAGTGTTTTGGAAAAAGACTCATGAGCTCTGCAAGACCATCAGTGCATACAGATACATTACAAAATAAAGAGTTTTCACAGATCCATAGGCAAAACACAAACAAGCAACAGACAAATGGACAAAAATATGAAAAGAAAATTTACAGAAAAAGAAATATAAATGGCCAATAAGCATATTTGTATATGTTCAACCTCTGCAGTAGTAAAGAAAATGCAAATGACTCAAAATAACATATTTCATTTGTAGGATGTACATAAATTAAAAGATGATTTAATTAATGTATAGAAAGATGAACAGAGGGATATAAAGTAAATATAGTTAAATGTTAATGGCAGAGTCTAAGTAGTAGATATATAAGTGTTCACTATACAATTATTTCAACTTTTCTGTATTTTTGAAAATGTCCCATAATGAATGTTGTGGGAAGGGCCAGAACTTTAAAACATAACTCTTTTGGCACAACTGCTCCATTTCTATGAATCTATCTTACAGAATATAGATGCTCACATGCACATAAGTAATAAGTAACCAAAGAGGTACCCTGCAGACTTGTGTTTTAGGGAAGAATTGGAAATCATTTAGATGTCCATCAAAAAGGTAATTTTAAGTACATTATGGTATACTCATACTATAAAATATTATGCAGCTGTTTTTTTTAAATGAGGTAGATCTATATACTGATTTGAAGAGATTTCCAAAATGTATTGTGAAGTGGGAAAAATGCAAATTGCAGACTCAACTGTAATGTGTAATCCATTTAAATTATAATGAAAAACTATTTGGTAGATATGTATGTATATATTTTTGGATATGCATAGAAAAAATGACTAGAAAAATACACTAGAAACCTGTGAACTGTATTTACTTCTGGGGAGGGGGATTTGGAATAAGGAGGATGAAGGGAATTTTCGATTTTTATTCTATGTACTTCTATATAGTTTGAATTGTTTACAACATCATTGTATATTACTTATCTTATATTCCCCCATATTTTGTTTATCTGTTTATTGTTCATTCTTTTTCACATATCATTCATTTATGTATCATCATTAATTAATCTATTCATTAATCCATCTATCCATCTTATTTTTGATGCATTTTAAAGTAGCAGTATTATGCTTATGCTTTAAAATAAAATATAGTATCATCATTGATTATAGATACTTAGAAGCTAAGTAAATTGGGGACAGAATGGTGTATGCTGGATGCTAGGAAAGAGAAGATGAAGATGGCTGTGGTGCTCAATGGATAAACACAAGGCAAAGAACGCAGGGGTTGTCCTGTTGGAAAAAGAAAAGGGTCCAATGTGCCAGGTGTTAAGGGCAGAGCAATGGTCAATGGAAATCTAAGAAAGAAGTGTTGGTAGAAGATGGAAAGGAAAGGAAGAGAAAGAGGGATTTTAGAAAGGAAATGTCCAAAGAATTCAGCTCAATAACACTCCTACCGACTTTTCTTTACTAAGGAAGGTCCTCTCTAAAACAAAGATATCTTTCTTAAGCCCTCAGTTCAAAATAAATCACAGCATTATTACTTCAATTCTAGAGAAAGTCTCTCTGGATTCATCCACGGAGGATCCAAATCATATACCTTTGATAGGTTTTTAGACCTGGAAAGGACCTGAAGAATCATTGAAGCCAACCTCCCCAACTCTTATACTACAGGTGGAAAAATTGAGGCTCACAAAGGGAAAGGGACTTGATAAAACTAAAGTCTCCTGACTTCCAGGCCATTTGCTCAAGTTTCCCAAGAGGAAGGTACTGCCATTCCTCAGATGTCTGAGCAGAATGAAGCTAGGGTAAGGCATAGTTTGTTTACAGGAAACTCTACTCAGTGTCACAGCTATTTGGTCACTGGTACCACCCAGTTCAAAAACCAGGCATGGCTGTCATTGTCTTTCCAACCTCAAGTCCAAAATGCCTGGGTCTAGTGTTCATGGGCTCCCTTTGCAACCTTAATTTCTATTTCCCTTTTTTGGCTCAGCATTGAGACTAGCCACTAGCTGTCCCCTGTATATCCAGTACCTCCTTGCCTCCAAGAAGGTACGTATGTTTTTCATGTGCCCAGGAAAGCTCTGTCTCAACCTCTGCTGTCTTCCTCTATTAGTGTAAACCCTACCAGATCCCTTCAAGGCCCACACAAATGCCTCTTGAAGACTCTCCCAAACCAGAGATTCTCATCTAATATCAGAAGGCCTTAAAGTTGCAGGTCTCAGGAGGTAGGCTGAACTGCTCTAGTTGACCAGCCAATGTTATAACTGAGGGTTCCCAAATTTCTAATCCAGTGTATTTTTTTATGACTCCACATGTCTTCTGCCTTATCTGTACCCCTCCACCCCAAAGCACCTTTCAGCCTTGTAATACAGTCTAAAGTCCTTGTATTCACCTTTCCCACAACAGACCTGAAGCTTCCTAAGGGTAGGAGCCTATTTTATCCAGTCCTCTCTGCCCTTATCTCCAGTTGCTCAACACAATGCACCACACCAGCAGATTCTCTGTACTTGTGCATAACAGGCCAGAGCAATTACCTTGGCAGTGACTAGAAAGTATTGTAGTTGTCAGACAAATATTCAAGCAACATCAAAGAGGGCCTTGAGTTTTACTCTTCAGAGACCTTGGCTGTTCGGAAACATTGCTTCTGCTGAAAGCCTATCTTAGTTGAATGGACATTAGAGTTACACCTTAGCCAATAAAAGAAGGGAGAGACATTTTAGTTCCCCTATAAGGACCCAAATTCAAGATGTTATGGAGCTCCAATTCTGTAACTCCTATAAATACAAGTATACAAGAAAACAAAGCTTAATTTATTTGTTTTAATTTTTATTTTCACTGGTCAAAGGGATCTTTTGAGTAACCCAGTGAAGTCCAACTCCCTGACTTTACAGGTGGGGGACTTGAGGTCAAGAGAGATGCTGGGACATCCCTAATGTTATAACATGAGTAAGTGACAGAATCTCCCAATTCCTTGTGCACATCTTTTTCATCTCCACCAAATGAACAGGTGTTTGTCACCAACCACACCAACCACATCTTAACCTGGGATCAGAAAGAGCTGTGGCTTAGATAAGCACAGTGATCCCATTACCTCCTTGCAATCCATTTCATCACTGGACATATCTAAGCCTTGCTAAGTGTTAAGTAGTATAATTTATTTAAAGCACTTAGTAAAATTCCTGATACACAGTAAAAACATTCCTCCCTCCCTATTAGAAAGGACTTCCTTATAGTAAGCTTAATTCTGTCTCCTGGTTATTTCCACTCTGTTGAATTCTGACCCATCCTGAGTTCTCCTTCTTGAGGTCACTTAAGACAAACGTGATCTTTTCCACATGCCGGCTTTGAAGGTATTTGAAGACAGTACCCCTGCCCTGCTTCCCTTCCCTCACCATGAGTCATTGCAAGACTACCCTCCACTCATTCAGATTTCATCTTCCTGCAGATAGGGGGCTTACAGTTGGCCTCATTTTCCACAAAATCGTGTTATTTGTCACCAGAGGCTGTCACTAGGTATCTACTTTGGAGAGTTGGTCTTACAGAAGTGCACTTACCCTGTGGCCTCAAGCCCCTTACACCACAAGCAAAGAATGAACAGAGATCAACACCTAAGGGCGTCCAAGTGTTGAAGTGCCCTGAGGTCTGATGTCTGGCCCTCAGGCTAGCCAACAGCTTTACACTGTCACTGGTAGCTTCTTCACCCTCTACCCTTGGTTTTTCACCATCCACTCCCCTCCCCTCCTCATCTCCCCATCTTATTCCCTTGGAAGAACTATTCAGAAGTGGGTAAGTTTTTACCCTATGTCCATAAATCTGAAAGCTCGCCTGTTGACCCACTCAAACTACTGGGCCTTGAGTTGCACCATGTGGGTGCCTCCTGCCCAACTCTATCCTGCACGCCCCAGTGGTCCTTGTTAGACTCCCCAAGTAGCTCCCATCTCTGCCACTTTCTCCAAGCTGGAGACAAAACTGGGGCCTTGCCCTGGCAGCGCAACATACTAGTTCCGCAAGGAGCCGACAGCGGGAGTTACCTTACAAGCCGCCAGCAGCAGCAAGTGCTCCGTCGGTAGACTCGACTGGCTAGCGTATGCGTCCGCACCTAGGCTGCGCTCCTTCGGCTAGGCTGTGCCATGCCGCGGTCAGGACTGCGGGCTGCAGGCTGGCTGGGGAGGTCTCTTACCCTTCGTAGCCTGGAGCGAGACGGTCCCACTGACGAGCGTCCCGGCTAGCGTGCTGGCGGCGGCTGGCGCAGAAGCAGCTTCGGAGGGAGTGCCACTGCGGCGGAGCACCGCTGACTGCCGCCTCACCAGCCCAAGCAAGAGAACCAGCCACTGCGTTGCTCTGATCGCTCCTGGCACCCAGTTGCGCCTCACGGGGCGCTGCGGTGGCCCTCAGCCGGTAATGGGCGAGCCTAGGAGCGCTGGCGGAGATGCACGAAGCGCCAGCTAGGGGCCGAGGAGGCCTGCATTCATCTGAACCCCTCCCGACTGCTGCACCTCGCCAACTACTGGGCGTCGGGTTCTTCGGGTCACAATTGGCGGAAGATGGAGCCTTGGAAGCGAGTGAAGTGTGTGGGGGTTGTGGGGGAGGGGCCTCTAACTCTGAAGTTCAGATCAGAACGCTGCCTCTTGTACGGAGAAGGCTGGCCAAAGGCCAACTCACACTCCCTCCCAGAGAAAGGAAGACCTAGCAACTCTGGCGGGTGGAGACCGGAGGTGCCCTAGCTAGGGTGCGCGCAGCCACGAGGGCAGGTCGAATCTGCTGTGCGCTAATGCCATCCCTGTCCCCGCCCCTCTGCCTGCTCAGGTCGCGCAGAATGCCTAGGTCCGCCAAGCTCTGACCTGTAACCCAAATATTTCATCTACCTAATTGCTGAGCTCCCAGGAGCCAATGGCCAGGATGGCGGAGTAATGGGGTCCTCCCTTTTGCAGGCCTCTCTGAGAGGCCACCCACCTGCACCCGCCGCAAGAGAGCCTTGCGGAGCACCATACCCTGACTCCAAGCCCCCGCCTCGCACCCCGAGGCGGCCTGGAGGGAAGGGGAGGGTGCGATGGGAGGGCGTGAAGGACTGTCGACAACCTTTTTCCTGGATCCATTCAATCTACTCCTGGAAGTTTCCTGGCGATTGCGTCATTCCCAGGAGGGCAGATTCCCTGCCTGTTAATCACAGCGTGCATTTAAAAAAATCATCCACTACCCCCCCCCCGCCACCTTTAAAAAAAAATGCTCTGTAGGCACAGGCTTTCAGGCAACAAACCTGAAGTGGCTGAGAAAAGACACCTCCACAGTGCAGTGGTCTGGGGGACTTGAATGGTGCTTTCCTTCAGCTCTCACCAGATGTATGCTAAGACAAAGGAGCATTGCCTCCTGGAGCTCACACTCCCTGGCTGAGGAACCCTACACTTGAGTCCTTGCTCCCTACGTGGGAGGAACTGACTGCAGAGTTTTACGGAAGGGCTTAACGGATACATATCTTTTTTTTAATAGAGAAATTAGGCTAATCAATCTGGTAATTATACTAATAAATCTATATAAGATATCAGGGCTAGGGGAACCCACATGAATCACTTCAACAGTCTAAAAGAAGTATGCAATGGAGATAGCTGTGTGAGGCAGCATTCCCCTGGAAAAACCTTCCTCGAACTTCTGCCAGTAGACAGAAAAGCAACCATCCTTGACAAATAAGTGGACTGAACAAGTTTATTCTGTAACTTTACCATGGAGATGTCAAGTGGGTCCTGACTTCCAGGATAGCCTGTCAGCTCCATACAGACGCCAGACCTGGGACTTCCCTCACATCTCACTCCACCTAATCCTTACCTATCTCTCAGTGCCTCCTCTTGCTCCTAGTATTCCTGCCAGGGTGTGCAGTAACTGATGTCAAACTGAGAAGACACCACCACCTCCAAACTGAGAAGAAAACCTTGAGCAAAGCACTTCACCACCTTGAAGCCCCAATATTCTTCATCTGTTAAATTACCCTAAAAAGAAGACTTTCATCACAATACTTCACAGAGGGTTCAATGGGTTGATTTATGCCTGGCTTATAATCAGAGCTTGTTACTGAGCTTCATATGGAAAGGATCTGGCCTCCTGCTTTTAGAAGCAGGCCTTTTCACTCTTTCCATAGGGCCCATCTTGATGAGCTCAGATGGGAATCTTTCAAAACAAGGGCCAGCTCTTTCTACATGCTAGTGGCTGGCAACTCTTGACAATACAGACAAGAATACATATTTTTGATTGCCATAATTATTCCTCTTCATCATACTCACCATGATAATAACAACAATAATAATGTCTGTGCTGGGTAACAACTTCTGCAATGGTGAAGTAGACAGAGACAGATGCAGGGAGATTACATTCTTCTAAGATAGGCTTTTCTAGATTCTGCCCACATGAAAGCATAATCCTAGAAACTTTGATTGCAAGAGACAACTCAAGAGGTTATCTCATCCAGCTGCATGCCTGCCAAAATGTCCTTACCATAAGAATTACTCCTGTTTATCAAGCTTCCCAGGGAAATACAGCCATTTAAGAAATAAACAATTATTCACTGGACACATGCCAGTAAGCAACCTGACTAGGCCCCATGAGTGATACAGAGATAGACAAGGCCCAGATTCTGCTCTCAAGCAACCCTTGTCACCCAGGAGACAAGATAAATAAACAAACAACAGTTCCCCCACCTAGCATCTTCTGCCTCTCATTGTCCCAGAGACTAAAGAAAATTGGACCAACAATTTGCAAGCAAATTGACACTACACACTTTTCCTATCAAAAGTCTAGTAGTGCATACATTCTGTATTCCCAAACTTTGTTAATACTGAGATAGGAGGGAAGGGGGCAGGACACAACCATTAAAAGAATGACACAGTAATTAGCACCAAGATGGCAGAAGATTCAACTCCAAGTAGACCTTGAGCTTCATTATACACTCATTGTAATACATTAGCATGCTAAATGGCACTCCTACAGGTGTCATTACAGTTTTAAGGCTGACCATAAAAGGTCAAAAAGTAGGTGATGGCCCAGTTCCTGGGAATGCCAGTCCCTTCCCCAAAGTACTTGGAATAATCCTCCCACTTGTTAACATGTGAAACTACCAAGCCTGTAAAAACTAACAACCCAGAACCTTATGGTAGCTCTTTCTGTCACTCTTTCTGGCCTTCTGAGGCAGCCTGCACTCTGTCTATGGAGTATGATATCTCTGAATAAATCTAATTTTACTCTACTATGGCTCATTTTGAGTTATTTCCTGTGCGAAACCAGAGACCTCACTTGATAGGGTGCATCCCAGGGCCTCACCTGGGACCTTGGACATGTCCATCTGCTTGCATCTCTTTTTCCTATATCAATACTTCACAGGAGTCCACTGGATATGTGTTGCCGGTGGTGGTGCTCCAGGTTCTTGTCCTGTCCCAGAAAGAATTCAGAGACAAGATGTAGTGGTTAAAAAAGTAAAGTGAGAATTTATTAATGGATGGATAGTACACTCTCAAGGGGAGAGTGGGCAGGCTCAGGTGAGCAGTTGCCTTGTATTTCTTTAGAAAGTTGATTATATAGGGTGTAAAAACGAATGCGCAGAATATCCACGGGGGAGAAAAGGGTCTGGGGTCATATTCCCTGATTTTCATCCCAACTCCATCTTCCCAAAGGAAGGAGGGATTTTTATCCTTGTTTAGTCTGGATCAGAACTGTCATGGCATCTATGCATGATGAGTACTTCTAATCTATAAGGCTAATTTTATTAAAATGAGGGCATAATGAGCAAAAGGTTACATTTGGACACTGGAAGTTTCTGCCTTTTCTCACCGTTCTTTGTTGGTCTCTGGGCCACTTATCACCCCCAAAGGTGTAACCACTTATCAAAAGAGGTTCCTGCTTTTCTTTTTCTGCCCAGGGACCCCTGGTGCTTATATGATGTATGGTTTCCTGCCCTTGACCTGTTGCCCTCTTTTCTGCCCAATTTCTGCCGTTTGGTCTGTGTCCCACTTTCTCTGTTCATATCTAGCTATCTGCCTGCTCTAATATATGGACTTTCTGTCTTTATTCAATAGAATGGGCTAGTATTTCTAATGAGCTGTTGAGCATGGTGCTGAACAGGACTTAATCTTGTTTTTGAACTTCATGTGAGCTAGTTGGTAATTTCAAGAGAAAAACCCTAGCCCTAGCCCTAGCCCTCACCTCTCATCTTGCCAGATTTCACTCAGATCCCTACCTTTGTCTTGTATTTTCCATCAACCTTAAAATGTATATCTTTTATGGTAAGCTGAATAATGACTTCCCAAATATATCTATATCCTATTTCCTGGGACTTGTAAATATGTTACCTTACATGACAAAAAGGGACATTGCAGATGTAATTAAGTTAAAGATCTTGAGATGGGGAGATTATCCTGGATTATCCAAGTGAACTCTAAATACAATCACATGTATCCTTATGAAAGGGAGACAAAAGGAGATTTACATACACAGAGAAGAAAGTGATGTGAAAATGGAACAGAGAGATTTGAAGATGTTGACTTTGAAAATTGGACTAATGAAGCCACAGCCAAGAAATGCCAACTGCCACCAGACACTGGAAGACACAAGAAAAGCATTCTCCCTCAGAGTTTTCAGAAGGACAACCCTGCCAACACCTTGATTTTTGCTCCATGAAACTAATTTTAGACTTATGACCTCAAGGTGTATGAGAGAATGAATTTAATTCACTAACTTTGTGGTAATTTGTTACAGCAGCCATAGAAAATGAATATGTTTTTATTGTAGTCATAGTTAATTCTATTTCACCCAGTTTGTTGTCTGTGTCCTTGCTACAATTCCCTACCAGATTGTAAGCCACAATGCCCAGCAAAGAGCATTCAACAAATGCCTACTTACTGGACAACTAACTGAATGAATGAACGAATGAATGAATGAATTGATGCCACTCATTAGCAAAGTGGTTAGAGGAATGGTGTGGGGAGAGAGTGCCTAGCTCATTGTAACCCATATCTATTATTTCTATACCTTAATGGTATGCTGGATTCATATACAAAGAACAATACATTATGCAGTTTCTAAACATCCTAAGGGATATTAATTAGGCTGTATGGTGTGCTGAAGTAATTACCTAGATTTTGATTTTAAATCCCAGCTCTGCTATCGGTTCACTTGTGACCTTGGGTAGGTTATACTCCGACTCAGAGCCTCAGTTTCCCTATCTGTAACATGAGATTTCTATGCTATGTTGAATATCATTCTAAAACTATTTCTCAGTAGTTCTTAGAATTATACCACTGTTCTGCAACTGTCCTTATCTCCTTTATTTTATACTTTGGTGTGGGTAGGGGGCTAAATTATTGAGAGTATCAAAAGGAAAAGAAAATCAAGAAATGATACCACTGGGAGCAAACCATCAGAACCTTTTAATCTTCTTGAAAGACGATGACACATTCCCATGCACATGTAGACATATATATTTCTGTACACTTACTTCGGCCTCACTATTTCAATCACCTTACTCAGA